TTCCCCCGGGGGCCAAAAATTAAAAAAAAGTTCCCGCCCGAAAAAAAAAAAAAAAAAAAAAAAAAGAAAGAAACAAACAAACCCCGTGGCTGCTTCCGAGTGTGTTGACATGGCAACTGTTGCTGCGGTAACCGAACTGGGTCATATGTCCGTGCAGATGGTGTTCCTCCATTCACATCGTGACTGAATGCAGGACGGGAGCAAGGCTCAGAGTTTGTTTTTTTCACAGAACACGACTTTACTTCGCATCTTAACAGTTCCACCACTCTGCAGCTCCGCTTTCACAGCGCGCCCCCTGGTGGTCGCCCCTTGTTCAGTCGCTCCTGGCTCCTTGGTGAATCTGGTGGATTTTTTTCCCTCCCAGGTTTTGGACTGGATAGAAAACCACGGCGAGGCCTTCCTCAGCAAACACACGGGCGTGGGAAAGTCCCTCCACCGAGCCCGAGCGCTGCAGAAACGCCACGAGGACTTCGAGGAAGTGGCTCAGGTCTGTGTCTGGATTATAACTAACACAGAGACGCTCTGCAACGCTAACTGTTCACCTTAAACATCTAAACATCTGCAAGCCAGGAATATTACTCAACTGTTATTGTTGCTTTTATTTTAGAAATAAAATGGAACCTGTTTGCATTAAAAGCAGGCTTCTGTGAGTTTTTCTACATTTGGTTGGCATAAAATTAAATATAAATCCCGACATCAGCTGGTGAGATGAAAATGGATGCAAATAATGTGAATAAATAACTTTAATGAACTCAAATTGGAAGTTTTATTAGGGATTACAGTACCCTAAAAGTTATTTTTTCAGTAATTTCAGTATTTTTCTCCAGTTTTATGCTCCCAGAATAGACCTCCATACTGGTAAAGTTATTCACAAAAATGCTAAAATCTACAAAATCTAAGAGTTGAATTAAATTGAACTGCTGACATAAGCACTTGTTACATTTTTCTAAAAAACATTTTTTCAATTTACAATATTTAACTATAAGACCATAAATTTAAACCTGAACGCCTTAAGACAGAGTTTAGATCTTTGAACCACCTGATAAAAACTTTCTACCATATTACTTTGAGAAATATTTTAACTTGTGATTTGCTTTTTGTCTAAAAAAATAAAGCAAACTGTATTAAAACTAGAGGTAAAAAGCTACATAGAATGACATCTGACAGTTAAAATGCCTCAAAACACTTGAAGGAAATAACAATTATTAATCTAGTTATTAGTTTTATTAAAACAAAAATCTAAAGAGTTTAATTACTTTCTTTGGATTTAAAATCTCAATGAATTCAATAAAAAAAAAAATCTTCTGTAAAATCAGCCTCTTGATACTCTGCCTCCTGTTTCTGTTTGTTGCCTCAACATCTCTCTCTTCCTCTTCATCATCATCATCATCTGCATATCCTGCTTTTCACTTTGCTCCTCGGTGCCTCCGTCTCTTTCATAACAGACGTTTCGCTCGCTTCACGCTGCCCCCTTGTTGAAACCCACCTCTCTCTCCGTCTCCGTCTCTCCGTAGAACACTTACACCAATGCGGATAAGCTCTTGGAGGCGGCCGAGCAGCTGGCCCAGACGGGAGAGTGCGACCCGGAGGAGATCTACCAGGCCGCCCACCAGCTTGAAGACAGGATCCAAGACTTTGTCCGCCGCGTGGAGCAGCGCAAAGTCTTGCTGGACATGTCTGTCGCCTTCCACACGCACGTCAAAGAGGTGGGCAGGGGACGGTGACACAGCGCTGAAGTGGATGGTGGGCTGTGTGCCTGTACCGATGAGATGAGAGCTCTCTGAGGGAGGGAACAAAATTACCTGTTGAAATGAAGCGTGGAGTACATTACATGTTCAGTCCAATTAGTCAGAGAAATATAAATAAATACTTTAGCGGAGGTATGTCTGTAGGGTCGGTTTTGTGCATAGATATCCAGCTTTACGTTTATAAATACTATGATTTACTGTGCGGTTACTCGGATGATAAAAACCAAACACAGGGTCGTTCGTAATGAGACAAAAGCTGCTGCCTAGGCTGACGTCTGCCTCCGTCTCCAGCTGTGGACGTGGCTGGAGGAACTGCAGAAGGAGCTGCTGGACGACGTCTACGCCGAGTCCGTGGAGGCCGTCCAGGATCTGATCAAGCGCTTCGGCCAGCAGCAGCAGACCACGCTGCAGGTCACCGTCAACGTCATCAAGGAGGGCGAGGACCTCATCCAGCAGCTCAGGTGCAGAGAGGCGGGCCAAATACTTGAGATTATTCATCATGTTTTCCCCCCCAGTTTCTCTCTACCTGTCTGTACTCTGAGGCAAGTCTGAGTCAAAGATACGAAGTGATGACTCTCTTTCATTTTTATCTCTTCATGACACATTTTGATGTCTTTCTTTCTATACTTGTAGAGATGGAAAGGAGAACAGTAAGTGTACTGTAAAAGTGATAAGAGGACAGTTATTTTATATTTCCCCACACTTTTTTTACATTTTGTCACATTGCAACTACACAATTGAAGGCTTTTTATTGAGAGTTTGGTTACTGACTTTTGGTTTTCAAAATATTTGACTAAAAATATTTACCAGGTTTTCACATTCAGTCCTTCTTAAACAATATTAAAGTAGAATCACTTTTTGCCCCATTTACTCTTTCAAGTCTTTTCAAGTTTCTCGCAGCTTTTGACATCTAGAGACTTAATATTTCTTCTTTATGAAATAATTCTTGCAGAGTCACATTAGATGAAGAGCTTCTGTAAGCATCACGTTTTAAATCTTTTCACAGATTCTTCTCAGCTTGCGTAAGGTCAAGACTGTGACTGGGCCATTTAAACATTTCGATGTGTTTTAAGCTAAACCATTTGATTCTATCTCTATTTTTATGTTTAGTAGAATAGCACAATGTGCAAAATTGTGGTTGCATAGGACTTCTTTAGCACAATATCTGGCAGGTTGTTATAATTTACTCTGCCTGTTTTTATGTTCAACTAGTTCATTGGATTTTTCCTGCACTTGATAACATATTTATAGATACTGAAGCTCTCTGAAGGTAATTTTTAACAATGTGATAATGGAATCAAATAGGCAAGTGAGGAAAAACATGGTGTAAATGTAAGCAATATTATAAATGTAATATTCAACAGTAATAATATCATGTGTTTTTTATAACTTGCTAAGTCAGGTCAAGGTTATTTGTGTAGCAAATTTCAACGACTAGGCAGTTCAAAGTGCTCTATGTCATCTACATCTAGACATTAGTCCTTTAATCTTGGATATTCTTCTGTTCAGGTGATAAAAGGCTGACTTTATAACTGTCTTTATGTGTCTCTGAAGGTTCAGGTCTGAGTGCAAAACTGTCTCGGCTGCAAAGTTTAGACACCGTTTACCAGAGTAAACCAGAGTACAACAAACAGCCGTCTTTGATGCTCGTCTTCTTCATCGTAGCTCTAATTCAGGCAGGAGTGGATTTGTAATTTGGAATAAACGTGTCAACACTCAACAAAGCTAAATATACGCTAAGAGAAATCTCCCTAGAAGACGTTAATGAAGTGCATTAAGCCCAAAAACGGCAAGCGGCGATGATGAGAGGCGGTGTGAGAGAGGTGGATGTGGCTGTCCAGCTTTATTTTTATGCAGAGGATGTTCCAGTGCCTCTCCTCACTCCCTCTTTTCTCTTTGTGCTCGCCACCCTCTCCCTGGCGACTTGGCTCCGCAGCGGGTTCTTACATAAGACCACTTTTATAAACGTGTGTCTAATTGTGCGCCGCTCTCTTCCTCTCTCTCTTTCTCTCTCCGAGAGGGAACTGTAGCTTCACACACCTTCTGCGTGTAGGACTGAGCTGTTGGAGTGCACAACATGTTCTCCACCAACACCACCTCATCATAATTAGCCTTTTTGTGAAACCACTTGTGGATTTATATTTCAAGTAAAAAGCCGATTAGCAAATTAGAGATAGTTTTAGACTCTTTTTATTTTTTAACGCTTCTTTTCCATGCTGGTGCTGCCGCAGTATTTTATACCAGCACAGCACTTTCCAGAGCAGCTCACCCTGACTGGCATGATGCCCTGCAGGATCTTTTATAGCTCCTCAGAGCTGCACTCTGCAGATTATGGCTTAATTGCGAACGTTTTTTCTTCCAGGGACTCTGCCATCTCCAGCAACAAGACGCCCCACAACAGCTCCATCAACCACATCGAGAGCGTCCTCCAGCAGCTGGACGAGGCCCAGGCTCAGATGGAGGAGCTCTTCCAGGAGAGGAAGATCAAGCTGGATCTCTTCCTCCAGCTGCGCATCTTCGAGAGAGACGCCATTGATGTAAGGGAGGCATGGTGAAACTGTGTGCTGTGAATAATATTACATGTTTTTAAAAAGGTTGGAGATTGATTTTTTGATGTCACAAGGGCGCATTGTAGTGTTTGGAGTTAGCAGTTAAAATCCCAAGACTCATCAGCTTGCCTGAAACGATTAATTGTGATTAATCGTTTATTGAAAAAGTCATCATCTAATTTAGCGATTTAATCATTAATCGGTGCATACAGACAAAAAAAAAACCATTTGGTAAAAGAACGACAACTAAAACTGTACAAAAATATAAAAATTTTTACTTCAAGATTAAAAAAAAAAAGGAAGATTGTAAACATGTTTAACTTGCAGTGCATTGGAATGAGATTTCTTCTTTCATAGCGTCTTAACTTTTTCGTAATCCTTCGTCAGATCATCTCAGACTTGGAGTCGTGGAACGAGGAGCTGACGGGTCAGAAGAGCGACTTTGACACGGAGGACTTGACGCTGGCTGAGCAGCGGCTCCAGCACCACGCCGACAAGGCCCTGACCATGAACAACCTGACGTTTGACGTCATCCACCAGGGGCAGGAGCTGCTGCAATACGTCAACGAAGTCCAGGCGTCAGGTGAGCTCCCGCCTGCATTCACACCTGTAAAAAACCTCAGGTCTTTGATAGATTATAGACATGTTGCGTGTTGTCAGCATCCAGAATTGTCACCCGTGTGCCCAACGCTGGAGGGCAAAAAGACGATTCCTTTACTTGCTATCCATAGACAATCTGCCGCAGCAGGACTATTCTGTTACCTAAGTGAAACCTGAAGATGGAGAGATTATTAATTTAGTGCAGTGCGCCACAGGAAAGGGGAAATAATGCAGAAAAACTGTTGAACTCAAATCAACAATTTTTTTTTTTCTCATGCTTTCTACACTACACACAGACCTGTTGCCACAGCAACTGATTTACAACAGCTCCATTAGTACATCAAGATTCAACAATAAAAACCCACAAACATTTCCCACACAACAAACAGAACATTCAGTCCATTACAGTATCGCGTCTTCAGGCTTGATATTTATTTTGTGATTCTTAATAAGTGATGTCTGAACGCAGCTGTGGCTGATTAGCTAATTTAAACATCAGCTCCACTGATGATCTGCCAGAGTTGGTATGTGAGTCGGCTTATTTTTTTTAACTAAACAGAAACAAACCAAATTCTGTAGCACAACTGCATGTTAAGGTTGTCAAAGTCAAGTTAGCATATCTGACCTTCTTCCCTCTCCCTCTGTATTTGTTTAAATTAACACTTTTTCCTGACCTGTGAAATGTGACATCATCAGACCTCGTTATCTGGTTGTCATTGTGTTGACAATAAGTAGCTAAGCACTACGTCCCTTTTTCTTTAGCACATCATTTTCTGTGAACAGGTTTTTGCCCTCCAGCAGGGAGCTGGGAACAGGAATTACACATATTACATTGAAACGTGTCTGTAAAGTTATTATTTTTTAAAATTCTTTTCCCTTCTTATTTATTTGCTGCCCCACATTGTGTGTTTGAGTGTTTGCCCACCACATCAGGCTGCAGCTCATGTTCAGCTCCGTGTTGCTACTGATTTCTGTGTTGGCTCTATTAGTTTTCTTGTGTAGGTGTCCCGGGTCAGATTCACTCAGAGTTGGTGATGAGAGGCTCCCACTCACCAACCATAATAACTCACCTGTGAACCTAAATGCTAATAGGTGCTGTGTGTGAGCGCACGCAAGGAGAGGCTGCATTATGCAACATGCAGTGAACACAGAAAATATATAAAGAGAATATTAGTCATTTTGATCATCTTCAGGTTTACAGATGTGAATTTAAAAAAAAAATACATTTTTTTAATGTTTTTATTCAGATAATTTCCTCACTCTGATTTTCTACAACTTTTCAGTTGGTATAACAAGACTCAGTTTGAAAACAGAAACAATTTTATTTTATTTTTTTCCAAAAGTGTTGTAAAAAAGAGCAAGTTAAAAGCTTCTCTGATCTTCAGACCATCTTAGATCAGAGTTTTAAGCACATTGTAGGTTTTTATACTGAGTACTGTTACATGCCAAATAATTTCAAGTTTTTTTTTACAGTTTTTACAAGCCTTTTTTACAAGTGTGGCCTGGTAGTCAGGTCATCTCATTGGAGGGTAATGCGACTGTCCCGTCTCTGTGCAGGCGTGGAGTTACTGTGCGATCGCGACGTGGACATGGCCACGCGGGTTCAGGACTTGCTGGAGTTCCTCCATGAGAAGCAGCGGGAGCTGGACCTGGCAGCAGAGCAGCACCGCCGGCACCTGGAGCAGTGCGTCCAGCTGAGGCACCTGCAGGCTGAAGTCAAGCAGGTCGGACTCGCACACACGGCTGCGTCATGCCGGCAGAGTTTTAAAGAGATGCAAATGAAGGCTTAGGCTTTGTTTTTGCCGCCTCAGGTTCTGGGCTGGATCCGAAACGGTGAATCGATGCTTAACGCCGGTCTAATCACGGCCAGCTCCCTGCAGGAGGCGGAGCAACTGCAGCGGGAACACGAACAGTTCCAGCACGCCATTGAGGTAAAGCCATACTGGATTTTCCCATTATTCCAGTTTTCTGCTCAGATTTGACTGAAGCCTCCTCTTCTCATCTCGTCCCTCTGCAGAAGACCCACCAGAGCGCCCTGCAGGTCCAGCAGAAGGCGGAGGCTCTGCTGCAGGCCAACCACTACGACATGGACCTGATCAGAGACTGTGCAGAGAACGTGGCTTCCCACTGGCAGCAGCTCATGCTGAAGATGGAGGACCGACTGAAGCTGGTCAACGCCTCCGTGGCTTTCTACAAAACGTCTGAACAGGTAGGAGACCCGGTCACACTTTTTTCTTTATTTGTCTTTCTACAAAGAGGAAATTGTTGCATCTTTTTAAAAGGACAAAAAAGAAATTTCAATTTATGTTTGGAGAAATTAGATAAAAAACACTGCAGAGGAAAAAGTTGACACAAAAAATGTTTATGACTTTGATGGTTAAAAACAATAAACATCTGGTTTCTGTTTGGTTTGGTTATTGATGAATAACCTGACTGAGTTTTTCTTTCTGTGCTTTTCAACAATGTTGATTTTGGTAGTTTATGGACAGTTAGCTGTTTATGTTAATGTCTCCTAGGGTGTAAAATACTGATGTCATAATTTTTATTAATTGAAAAAAAATGTGTTGCTAAAAAATTGTAATTTTTTTCCCTGTTTTTTCTTATTCTTTTTATTTCTGTATTATCTTTCTCTTTATTTTGTTCTTCCTTTCTTTCTGTCATTTTCTTTAATTTGTTTCTCTCTTTCTTTCTCTCTTTTTCTATTTCTTTCTCTCTTTCTGTTGTTTTTCTCTTCATCTTTCTTTTTCCTTTTTTTTACTTTTCTAGTCCTGCATTGTACCTACAAAACAGTATCCTATAAAAAAAACCCCTAATACTGTAAACGTATAAATAAGATGTTAAAACATGAAGCCCAGCTGCTGTTTCTGTCCATTTAAAGCACTGCTCTGTGTCTCTGACTGACTTTGTGTTCAGGTGTGCAGCGTGCTGGAGAGCCTGGAGCAGGAGTACAAGAGGGAGGAGGACTGGTGCGGAGGAGCTGACAAGCTGGGACCCAACTGTGAGACAGACCATGTGACCCCCATGATCAGCAAGCACCTGGAACAGAAGGAGGCGTTCCTCAAGGTGCGATGCGTCCTGTGAAAATGAAACCAAACCAAGTCTTTGGTCACACTTCTGCTCTGACTTTTCTGACGTTTCTGCCAGGCTTGCACTCTGGCCAGAAGAAACGCGGACGTCTTCCTGAAGTACATGCACAGAAACAGCGTCAACATGCCGGGGATGCTGAGCCACGTCAAGGCGCCGGAACAACAGGTTAAAAGTAAGTGATGGATAATTTACTGAAGGGAGCTGAGGCTGCGTTCATACAGCAGGTTCTGATGCTCAAATCCAGTTTTCATTTTTTGCCTGGTCGTTCATACTATTAGAGGTTGTGACTGAATTTAGACTTGTGTGTGAATGATTTACATCCCCAACGTGACTCAGAACATCGTCACACAGCAGCGGACAGTTTATACAAATAATAGTGGATAACATGATTTTAAAGTTTATTCAGCATTGGCAGCTGACAGTATCACAAGATCATAACAAGACAAAGGAAGATAATAAAAGGAAAACACAACTAACAGCGATGGCCTCATGTGGAGCATCAACTTCTATAGAAAAATCAGTTTGGATGCGAAGTCGGAGCCAGTCGTGGTGGGATTGGGATGTGATGCAGCTCAGTGACACAGACGTCTTTCAGAATTTTATAATTATAATTCTCAGCCACTGATTACGTTCAATTTGTCTTCTTCTGGTGCAGAATTATGACGCATGTCTCACATGAATGACGTAAAAGTCAGATAAAATGCAACATGACCTTTCAGACTGCAGACGCCTTGAAAGCAGTTGTATTCATTTCTCATTCAGAACAGCAGAAGGAGCACAATTCAGATTTTTTTTGAGGGTGAAAAGATAGTCATCTAGTTGTTCAGACTGTTGTGAAAAAGACAGATGTAGGTCACATTGGCTGGCTTTTTGGATGCAGCGTTGGAAGTTATTTATTTATTTCGGTGAAAGCACGAATACAAAGATGTCTTAGTCAGCCTAAACAGAAAGCCAGTTCAATTATTAATACAAAAATGTATAATTAACACTGGGTATAGATGAGCAAGATTACATTTTTAAAACAATCAAATAGAGATTTGTTAAGTTAATTATTCATGGAGACTCGGGGTTCCTAAGTGGAAGAACTGTAAAAATGAATACAATTGATTTATGTATTATTCACATGTGGATACGTATAAAAAGTGAAATAATTTACACTACTTCTAAAATCTTTCTGATTTAACTCGGCCGTCACAGAGTTAAACGTCTCCACTGAAATCCTTCCTGTTTGTTTTGTGTTCAGACATCCTGAACGAGCTGCTGCAGCGAGAAAACAGAGTCCTGCATTTCTGGACCATGAGGAAGCGGCGGCTGGACCAGTGTCAGCAGTACGTGGTGTTTGAACGCAGCGCCAAGCAGGTACAGCAAACACATCCAGAGACAGAAACCTGGAAGCCTGACGGGAATGCTGTGGTTTATTCAGAGGGAGAGGACACACAGAGACACGTAACAGTGTCAAACAAATGTGTGTGTGTGTGTGTGTGTGTGTGTCTAGGCTTTGGAGTGGATTCATGACACCGGGGAGTTTTACCTGTCTACACACACATCCACCGGCTCCAGCATCCATCACACGCAGGAACTCCTGAAGGAGCACGAGGACTTCCACATCACAGCCAGGGTCAGAGGTCGCAACAACACAGATTTAATGTCATCTTCTGCAGATTTGAATATTAAACTCACTCTGCTCTCCTTCTAAAGCAAACCAAGGAGCGCGTGAAGCTGCTAATCCAGCTGGCCGACGGATTCTGCGAGAAAGGCCACAGCCACGCGGCGGAGATTAAGAAGTGGGTGACGGCCGTGGACAAACGCTACAGAGATTTCTCCCTGCGCATGGACAAGTACCGCAGCAGCCTGGAGAAAGCCCTGGGCATCCCGTCAGACTCCAACAAGGCGGTACGGGTGATCGATGCTTAAAATCAGGGCTGGACGATGAATCTGTTTGAGCCATTAGTCAGATTTTTGGCATTTGAAAATTTAATCTGGATTTGTTTTTTCACCCTTTCACTCCTTGGGTTTCCATAGTTCAGAGTGATGTCATGACGCCCAGGGCGGCCATCTTGTTTGACTAGCAGCTTCTGTTCATTTAAACTTTGAATTCAGGTCAACTCTACGACAAATTATAAGGGTCATTTCTTTTGTTTTCCTTTTCTGTGAGAAAGCTATGATGTTGCATCAATACAGTCTAAATAATACGAGAAAAAGGTCCTAATATTTTTTTCTTACTTTCCCCAGTAACAATTTTATATATCTACATGTATTTAAAGTCAGATTTATTTTTTGTGCAGCCAGGCAATGACATTTTGTTGCCAAATTCACTGTTGTGTCTTTGTGCAATGACAATAAAGTAAGTCTGAGTTTTATAAAAAAAAAAAAAAAACAAGAAAATGATCTATCCAGGCTTTTTTCTCATTAAAATAAATTTCTTGTAATTTCAAAACTTCTGGTAAAATTCAGTTTTTTATTCTTTTAATAACATCACTATATTCTCATGATTAAACTAAATTCTCATTGCCTGGTCCTAATATTTGGTTGTAAACTCACAGAAGGGAGTAAAAACCACTTGTCAAAATTATTTTCTGTCATTTGTAATTATTTAGAAAACATGCAAGAAAGCAAAATCTGATCTGGCATGAAAACAAGTCAGATTTTATTATTCCCCCATATCATCCATCCCCAGTTAAAACCTAATTCACTCCCATGATGCCTCAGTACGCCCTCTAATCTTTGAGTGTCCCTCCTTTCTAGAGCAAGGACCTTCAGCTGGACATCATCCCAGCCACTCCTCCGGGGTCAGAGATCAAACTCAGGGACGCCGCCGCGCACGAGCCGAACGAGGAGAAACGCAAGTCGACGCGCAGGAAGGAGTACGTGAGCCGCTTCCTGTTTGCCACGCCGTTCGGAGCATCAGCAGATTAAAAGCAGCCTGCTTTATGAATGCAGTCAGGACTGCGTTTACTTTACATAATAAGGAAACGATAACAAGTCAGCGCTTTCCCTTCAGAAAACCAAAGATTTACTGCCGAGTTAATTGAATTAGGCGAACAAGAAGCCCGGCGCTGTTTCCAGAGGACGAGCTCCAAACTGATCCGTCATTGTTCTTGTCAACGCTGAATAAGGGAGTTTAATGTAAATGTGAAGGCATGATGGACTTTAAACATCTCCGTCTGTTCGGCTTCTCTCTGCTGCGCTGGGCGGAGGGGGACTGTGTCACTTCAGCCTCGTGCCACAAATCAGCAGCATAATTTATGTCACTCCTGGCAGGTTTATGACCGAGTTTAATGGCCCCATAAGGCTTTCATTATTCACTGCAGTAAATGGACAACGCTGACAAGCTGAGAAGGAGCTATTGATTATTCACCGCTTGAATGAGGACAGTATGACAAGCTGCCAACTTGTGCCTGTGTGTGTGTTTTTTTGTGTGTGTGTCTAGGTTCATCATGGCCGAGCTGATTCAGACGGAGAAAACGTATGTGCGAGACCTGCGGGAATGCATGGACGTAAGAAAACCTCCGAGACGCGCACCAAACGTCTGGAAACATCTGGAAAATATGGTAACTGTGGCCTTTCCTCTCTGCTGTTCACGCAGACGTACCTGTGGGAGATGACCAGCGGCGTGGAGGAGATTCCCCCAGGAATCATCAACAAGGAGCACATCATTTTTGGGAACATGCAGGACCTCTACGAATTCCACCATAAGTAAGACACGCCCATTGAAAGGCAAAGAGCATTGTTTAGTTTAATCAATCAATCAGGTTATTAACAAATTTCATTATTGATTCATAAACTCGTTCTCTTACGACACGTTATGCACATGTGCAAAGGGAGCAGGAAGAAGAACAGATATTTTATTAACCTGTCCCTTTCTCAGTAATATTTTTTTTCCTGTTTATAATACACAGCTGTGTGTTTTTTTGGAAAATGTTAAGCATGGTGGATATGCAACATGCCCGACATGAATTTTTGTATATAACAGTATTAAAGTGTGAAATATGACGTAAACTGCAAGATAATCATCAACACTCAGAAAATCTGCAACGATCAGCTGAAAAAGAAAATAAAGTCCAGACATTTTAGTTACTGTAGTTGTGACCTAATAAAGCTCAGTATAAATAAACGCCTGCAAACATCAGTGAACTGAAGGAATTTTGTAATGAACAATGGGCAGAAATTGCTCTTCGACAATATGTGACTCCTACTACTACCCTATAATAGGATGCACATAGTTTTTCATATCACTTTTAGCAGTTATTTAAACTATTTTTATGCAGTTATCTCCATGTAATAAAGTAGTTTTTTTTTTTTACTTTTATTTTACGTTTTCATCTCACACTCCTAAATTTATTCCAGCATCTTTCTCAAAGAGTTGGAGAAGTATGAGCAGCTTCCAGAAGATGTTGGCCACTGCTTTGTCACTTGGGTACGTATCATCAGGTGTTAGCATTATGTCACCAGACCCTAAACAGAACCGCATCCATCTGTAACATTTCTCTGCTCTTTAAGGCCGACAAGTTCCAGATGTACGTGAACTACTGCAAGAACAAACCCGACTCCACGCAGCTCATATTGGAGCATGCTGGGAACTACTTTGACGTGAGTAGCACCGCTAGCGACGGCCACACCGGGAAGGTTTCATGGGCTGCGTATGAACAGAACTTACCCAACCTTTTTCTGTCTGGTGACAGGAAATCCAGCAACGGCACCGGCTGGCCAACTCCATCTCCTCCTATCTGATCAAGCCGGTGCAGAGAATCACCAAGTATCAGCTTCTGCTGAAGGTCGCACATCTCACCGCACCTCACAGCCGCTGCATTCAAGGGTCTCCATGGCGCTTCTGCTGATTTCCTGTCCGCTTGTCTGTTTAGGAGCTCCTGACGTGTTGCGAAGAAGGGAAAGGAGAGATTAAAGACGGCCTGGAGGTGATGCTCAACGTTCCCAAGAAGGCAAATGATGCCATGCATCTTTCCATGCTGGAAGGTGAGCGCCACACAGTGGTTGGACTGTGGATCTAGATCTGCTAATTGTTACTTGGCCAATAATATCTAACTTGTTAAAGCTAAACTATTTTATGTCTGAAGGAAAGTGAAAATGGATTGATTTTAAAGTTTATTCAGCAACGGGAGCCGATAGTGTTATCACAAAATCACAGCAACGTAAAGGAAGCTAATAGAAAGAAAACACATCTAATAGCAACAGCATTTTGTGGAAGTCTGGACGAGAAGTCAGAGATAAGAGTGATGGGCTTGTGATGCAATTAGCTTCACTGACACAGACTACTTTCAAAGTTTCAGAATTATAATTTCATTTTCAGCCATTGTTTATGTCCAGTTTGTCTTCTTCTGATGCAGAATTACGACGCATGTCTCACATCAATGACATAAAAGTCAGATAAAATGCGACATGCGACGTTCAGACACTTTGAAGTCATTTGGATATGAACCTGATTTAGTGCCATATATGAAAGTTTCTGATTCTTTTGGGGGAGTAAAGGCTGGAACTGGGCCGTTCAGACTACTGTGAAAAGTCAGATGTTGGTCGCATTTTGGTAAAAAAAAAAAAAATCGTTTGGGTTGCATTTGCCTTCTGTGTGAAGGTAACCAAAGAGACTTAAAAAAATCTTGAGATTAAGGCTGAGAGTTATTTATTAGTCAAAGCTTTATTTTTTATGACAGAACTAACGCGTAAAATAGAGAATATTTGGCAAGACTTGAAACTGACTGTTCACAATGTTCCTGATTTAATCTGATTTGGAGTCCAAACTATTTTGCAAAGAAATGTGTTCCACCTCAAGAAAACCTCTAGTTAACGCAAATCTATTACAAAATAAAAATAAATGCATCAAACTTTCAATGAGATTAAAAAAAGTTGAGGAGATCGAAAGCGAAGTATGAAAGAAAAAACGTTTTTGACAAAATACTGATTAGATTTTAAGAAGTCTCTCTGTTCAAATTTACCGTTTTTCCTCCAGGATTCGATGAGAACATAGAGTCTCAGGGCGAGCTCATCCTCCAGGACTCCTTCCAGGTCTGGGATCCCAAGACTTTGATCCGTAAAGGCCGAGAGCGCCACCTCTTCCTCTTCGAGATGTCTCTGGTGTTCAGCAAGGAGGTTAAGGATTCCAACGGCAGGAGCAAATACATCTACAAGAGCAAGCTGTTTGTAAGTACAGGAGGACGGATCCACACAGAGCTTTCAGCTTTTGTTCCTCCATCTCTGCTGTTACAATCAAAGGGAAAACAACACTTGAAGCAGAGGTGGTTGATATGTGTACACACATAGATTTATATATATATAATAGTTTTGTTTTGATTTTGAGCTACTAACTTGAAAACT